ATTTAGATATTCAAACTTAGAGTAATGCAAACCTATATCACACTGCTCATATACATTCTATTTACTTCAACACATGTGATTATTTTTGTTTCTCTCATACTTTAACATGAGAATGATTTCAGAAACACGTATTATTAATTTCCATCATTTCTTCTTTTCTATTTTACGTTGTTTTCTGACTTTTCATGTTAGCTTCCATGCGTGTTTGCAAGTCTGACTGCTAAATTGATTTTAATTTACCAGTTGCCACTACTGCACAATCACCAAAGGCTTACTGAAATAACAGTCTTGAAACACTGCGTGTATTATAACTTAAACTTGTGTCTCAAATATCTTTAATAAAAGAAATTAAACACTGGGTGTTGCTTCTCTGTTATGTGTACGTATAACATACGAAGTTCAGTTGGCTCTTCTCTGACATAACAATGTGTAACATATACAAGCATATGTGTTTGCTTTGTCGTCGTGACAAACAGATGCTCTGAATCACAAACACAACAGGACATCTCCAGACATGTAGTTTCTTTGTTTCAGTGAGATGCTAGCACTGTCTCACCTGTACTGCAGGCAAGGACCCACATTGTTGCTGATGTTAGAGGAATTGTTTGTTGAGATTTGTTTTGTTGTTGCTTTACTGTTCTTGTCTGTTTGTCCGTTTGCATATTTGTTTCACATAAATGTGTCTGTCTGTCGGTTGGTCTGTCTGTCTGTCTGTCTTCTGTCTGTCTGTCTTCTGTCTGTCCGTCTGTCCGTCTGTCTGTCTGTCTGTCTGTCTGTCTGTCTGTCTGTCTGTCTGTCTGTCTGTCTGTCTGTCTGTCTGTCTGTCTGTCTGTCTGTCTGTCTGTCTGTCTGTCTGTCTGTCTGTCTGTCTGTCTGTCTGTCTGTCCGTCCGTCCGTCCGTCCGTCTGTCTGTCTGTCTGTCTGTCTGTCTGTCTGTCTGTCTGTCTGTCTGTCTGTCTGTCTGTCTGTCTGTCTGTCTGTCTGTCTGTCTGTCTGTCTGTCTGTCTGTCCGTCCGTCCGTCCGTCCGTCCGTCCGTCCGTCCGTCCGTCCGTCTGTCTGTCTGTCTGTCTGTCTGTCTGTCTGTCTGTCTGTCTGTCTGTCTGTCTGTCTGTCTGTCTGTCTGTCTGTCTGTCTGTCTGTCTGTCTGTCTGTCTGTCTGTCTGTCTGTCTGTCTGTCTGACTGACTGACTTTATGTATTTCTGACTGTTCATTACTATGCTTTTTTGTCTGCCTATATATTTATATGTCGGTTAGCATAAATGTTTATCAGTGTGTCAGTATACTCTTTTGCCTGTCCATATGTACACATGTTTGCTTTTTTGCCTTTCTTTCCTAACAGACATTTGTCGGTCAACCCATCTGTGAAACCAGAAGCTATAAATCTATGAAAATGCAGTTTTAACCGACAAATAGATCGCTACTTTTATAGACACACAGACAGAATAATAAACCGATATACTAGCAGTCAGACAGGAGTATTGCTTAACATACTGACAGAAATATTATATTCAATTATGCATAAATGTTTGGGTCCTCCGTTGTTGGTTTATCGTCATCTTCTTCTGCTTTTCTTATCCCTAATGGAGCCAACTCACACCCAGTCGATTGTTGGTGTGTAGGGCGTCTGAATATTGGAAATGATTAGCAAAAAACAACATTCGAGAAGGGTGAAGAAATAAGACACATTTAAGGTGGACAACAGCTGGTATGAACAGTAGTAAAACTGAGAAGATGGCTCTTTATATAGCCATCCATATAAAACCAGCAGAGAATCACCAAACAAGTACTTAAATAAGGAAGAAAATGGATCCAGGAAACAACCACATCCAAGAGAAACTATGAAACGTACGCTGATATGGAAGTGGTTGCACAGGGTAGACCGGAATGGACCAAACGACTGCTAGCCCAATGAAAATAGATGGCACAACCTGATGATAATAAAAGTGATTATGAAGATAATTATGATGATGATGAATCCAACAGTTTCTGTAGCACAAGGGCTAGAATATTTGCCTGAGGGTCCAATGTTTTCGCGTCCTTGTCCAGACGAGAATGGTCTTACAAAATAACTTGCACTCATAGTTCTACCCTGCCTAAAATAGGTGCAGGGAAATTTGATTTAGTAAAGGTGAGTTAAACGATTTAAAAACATTAGCCATCGAATACTAATCACTTAATGAAACAAGTTATGTATTTTATGTAGCAGTGTGAAATAGTTCCAGCGAAGTAGCATTTTACAAAATGAAGAATATTCTTTGGAATCTAGCTTTGTCAATAAAGACGAGAAACAGAGCTCACAAAATCTATAAAAATCCTATCCTGACATACGAATGTGAATCATGGACAGATGGCTGATTAGGACACAATTATGCTAAAGCGGTGATGATGTTTTATTGAAGCAAAAAAACAGAAGACATTTGCCGTGTAAGTAAACCTGTCACTACACAAACTGATTTGCATTTGTAGATTGTAAGCATACTGTGAAAAAGCATGCACACCGACCAGTTGGTCACTCGATGTTTTGATTATGATGATGATGATGATGATGATGATGAAGATGATGATGATGACGATGATGAATAAGAAAAGACACATTGGCTGTATTCACAGACACAAGAAATCTGCAGACGAGAATATACATCCTTGGAATAACATTCCAGATCTGTCGTAGTAATTTCCCCTGGTCTCTGGGTAGTGAGATCGGACGCCTGTGTTTATTATTGCACACGTAAAAAAGCAATTGTCAGTTGGAAGGCAAATCGAGTAGCCTAACGGCGCTGCCCGGGCAAATTTTGGAGTTAAGAATCTACCCTAAATATTTCAGGATCCTCGGCGGTGCTACGGAACAAGTGCACTGTGCAGAGCTACTTCGGACTCAGACTTGAGTTAGAAGTAGAACGGAGCACTTATGGGTTACAACCCTTGTGACACGATGTTGATCCGTTGTTCAAACTTCACAAGAGGAAATGGGGAACATGTCTTGTTCTCCCTTGTCTATTATGAGAGCAGGTGAATACCAGTAACTCTGCTAAGCTTCCTAAACTTTCGTATTATCCTCCACAATATCGCATTGATGCACACATTCTATACGCATCTAACACAAGCGATGGAAACTTACCAAAAGAAAAAAAAAGTTCTATTTGGCATACCCTACCTAAAGGTAAATTCTTGCTGGCGTCTTGTATGTGCCGGGAAATTCAATCTGGCATATCTAAGAACAGAGCAGAGTATGTTGACTTGCCTGTCGAAGTTTCTTTCATGTACGTCTTCATGTCTGGTTCCTACCCCTATTTGCTTGTTGCACCGTCTAAACCTACCTGATGAATTACTCATGGCTCAAGCACTTGTGCCCAGGTAGTGTTGTCTAAACCATAACATCAGAAGAATTCCATGAAAACAGCCTTCGGCAATTCAGCGTTAACTCTCTTTCGTGTTTTTTGTTTTTTTTTCTGTTACTGAGCTCATCTTTAACTGAGCAGGTAAAAAGTACAATATCCTGTTGTGAACTGGCTGATCTCGCATTATCTTCTTTGCTATTTAGTCCAGAAGAGGCTGGTCGAGTCGTCAGATTGCTCTGGGCTGTCATGCGGAAGACTTGCGATCAATCACCGTCAAAGGATGAAGATTTCCTCCGTTTAAGGCAAAAGATAAGGTAACCTGCACAGTTCATGGCGACAGAACCTGCCTTGAGACCTTATCAAAAGTTTCAAGATCCCCTACCCTACAAGTGGTACACATAGGCAGCAAAGGCAGAATATTATTTTAAATTTATTTAGTCAGTAAGCAATTTTTTTTTCACTTACAAGCTATGTACATTATATCTCTACAGTTGATTAGACCTGTCTACTTTTGCCCCACTTTCTCTCTTACTCTCTGTCTGTCTGTCTGTCTGTCTCTCTCTCTCTCTCTCTCTCTCTCTCTCTCTCTCTCTCTCTCTCTCTCTCTCTCTCTTTCTCTCTCTTTCTCTTTCTCCTTTAAGTCTACCTGCCAGATTATATGCTCTTTCTCTATCACTCGTGCCCCCTCCCCCAACCTCTCTCGCCTCCTCTCTCTCTCTCTCTTTCTCTCTCTCTCTCTCTCTATTTATCTCTCTCTCTCTCTCTTTCTCTCTCTCTCTCTCTCTCTCTCTCTCTCTCTCTCTCTTTCTCCCTCTCGCTCTCTTTCTTTCATTTGAAGTCCTAATTCACCCAAAGCAATTGCTGCTTTAAAAAACATTAAATGACTGAGCTTCACTTAAAAGGCTAGGACAATGTTGTTTCAAGTATCATGTTTCCATTCAAGTATTTCTGCTGCCCTACCCATCTGATGAGACTGGATAGACTCCAAAGTGCATGCAGTGTAGAAATACAAACCTTCTCACTTGGAGATAGAAACCGAGATAGCACAGTCTCCAGAATACATTTCCGAATCAACGGCTGTGATTTATTTTTCAGTTACACCAGGGTATCAGGAAGTGTTCTAGGAAGTAAATGTTGTTGTTGTGACATTTACAACATTACACACAAAGCATGCATCTTTCTTGTTCATAACCTTTGACCTGTTAGGGTCGTGGAGGTATATCGATGGAAGCTCTAGCACCCAAAACCCGCCATCTTTTTCTTGTCTTTCGCTTGAGGACTAAGTGTGTGAAAACTTAGTTCGGTCCATTTCTTGATGTTGACATTTCAGGTTCTTCTTTTCCCTCATTTTTTTCCAACTCCCCTCCTCTTTCGACATCAATGTACCTTAAAGTGTGTCCCTGCAGCAAAATACGGATGTGAGTCGTGGACTATCTCCCAGTCCTGGGCCAAGAAAATAGGGTCGTCCTTCGCTCTTTGTTTTGTAAATAGTTTTAAAATATTATTTATAAATTGACTGTTATTTTAAACTGTTGTTATAAGAGATGGTTCTTTTCTTTTAACTCACCCCAGCTCAGGGACACAGAGAGTTGCCGGGGAGTTTCCAAGAAAAGTCCAATATCATAGAGGGCAAGGGTTGGGGTTAATCTGTGCTCATTTC